TTCCCAGTGTCCAACAGCAGCTTCAGGCCTCAGTGGAGGCTGTGGTTATTGACGTCACCCCGGAATCACCAACTGTACTTGGTACGTCATCAAACATGGATGCTTTCTGGTGGGAGGAAAGTGCTGACTGGTTTCAAACACCTGCCAGATTAGAAATTGAGTGCGGTGTTTGTTGAGCTCCAGGAGGGTCTTGTGTGAAAAGGGGCAGATTAGTTGTTCGCGACGGCTATCCGTGCGATAGTGGGTGGGGCAGAGGGTCTTTTAAAACAGCTTTTAGGTTGATAATAAACCACTGAGGTTACCTTTAGCAAAAGTTTACACTTTTCTTCTTCCTGTCTTTCTTAGCCGACACCGACAGGAAGGATATTGTGTTCCTCCTGGATGGTTCTGATGGCACAAGAAACGGATTCCCCGCCATGCGGGCTTTTGTTGAAAGAGTGGTGGAGAAACTGAATGTGGGAGAAAACAAAGACCGCTTGTCGGTGGTCCAGTACAGCAGAGATGCAGAGGTCCATTTCTATCTGAACACGTATAGCACCAGGGAGGATGCTGTGGATGCGGTCAGAGGGCTCAGACACAAGGGAGGAAGACCCCTCAACACTGGGGCAGCCCTGCAATACGTCAGGGAAAATGTCTTTACAAACTCCTCCGGGAGTAGGCGTCTGCAAGGTGTTCCACAGATGTTGATACTGCTAACAGGGGGAAGGTCGTTCGACAACACAGATGCCCCAGCCTCTGCTCTCAAACAGCAGGGAGTCTTTGTGATTGCTATTGGATCCGGGACCTCTGACGCTAGAGAGCTTCAGAAGTTATCATATGAGCCTAGTTACGCTCTGTCTGTGTCTGACTTCACTGACCTCCCCAGTGTCCAAGAACAGCTCTCCTCTGTCATGAGCACAGCGGCAGTAAGGGCCACACCTTTCACCCCAACTGTGACTGGTAAGTAAGCGAAACAGCTTACCCTCTTAGATCTTGATAGGATGCAATTTGAACTGTATTAGCGTAGACTACACAAAGTTGAGGTCAGCCGTTATTTGTGACGGCAGAAACATGGTAAATTGGAAACACAGAGTTTGGCGCTTCTTAACTTACTTCAGGTTAGGAAAGATTTTCCTCAATGAAAGTTAATGATGTCCTGCATCTCATGTTTCTTAGTGGTGAGACAACTGGCAGGAAAGGATGTGGTGTTCTTGCTGGATGGATCTGACAGTACAAGAAATGGCTTTCCAGCTATGCGAGACTTTGTCCAAAGAGTAGTGGAAACACTGCGTGTGGATGAAGGCAAAGACCGAGTCTCGGTGGTTCAGTACAGCAGAGAGCCATCTGTCCAGTTCTATCTCAACACGTACGCGACCAAAGGCGAGATCCTCGACACCGTCAGAGGTTTGAGACACAAAGGCGGAAGACCCCTGAACACTGGAGCAGCTCTCCAGTACTTGAGGGATAACGTCTTTGCGGCCCCAGCCGGAAGCAGGCGCCTGGAAGGAGTTCCACAGGTCTTAATATTGTTAAGCGGTGGAAGGTCCTTTGACAGTGTTGATGCACCAGCCTCTGCTCTCAAAGAGATGGGTGTTTTGACCTTTGCGATTGGAAGCAGAGGATCTGACAGTCGAGAGCTGCAGAAAATATCCCACCAGCCCA